TGGGGCTTGCCCATTTTTACTATTCCTCGGCGAATGCAGGGAAGGCCACTGCTAAGATAGATCCAGTAAAATACACCTGGAAAATTATGTTGGTTTGGCGAGCCAAGCGTAATACAGCTCAGTGAAAAAGCTACCAGTTACTGGTTGCATCAGTGAAAAGAAACTAAAAAGCTGGGCAGGCCTGTTTTCTTTCTGCGACTTGGCCATGAAAAATAATAAGGCTTTTCTCACAAGCTGAGATCTGAAGAAGCACTTTCTTGGACAGTGTGAGCACGCCGGAACGAAATCAGACAGTTTATACACATTAAAAGAGCCAATGTACAGTAAAAACAAGGGCGAAAAAAAAAATTCAAATATTCACTAGCAATGCAACACACACATACAACACAATGAATGGAAAAATTAAGAGCACTATCTTTTTAACGAAGGCATGCTGTATCTGAGGCTCCCCAAAAAAAATACTTGACTAACCCCGTTTGCCTTAGCTTCTCATCTTTCTAGTCCCAAGCATTTTTTGCATAAATTTTTTCCCGACTCTACCTACATCCAGAGATTTCTACCTACATCCAGAGATTTCTACCTGTGTCCAGAGATTTCTGCAGCAAGACAGTGAAACACCACAAACTGTTTCCGCATGTCTGTTGAATAAATTGCTTGTAATTTCTGTGCCTTCCACCTTAAGATGTCACTTCGCAAAATATAAACCATCTTCTCCCAGCCTGAATTCCACAGGTTTCAACGCCTTACTGGAGATGTATCAATGGACGAACTCGACAGTAACATGAGTTCTTCGTGCATGACTTATGAAATAATCCGGCAGAAGAGAGCCTGCTACACTGGGTCTTATAAAGGTGAGAGTCTTGCAGCACAACCTAGACGGTGGAATGATATCATGCTGATGAATGCTTTTAGTGCATTTGCAACTTTCACTGGTATGAATTAAAGTTAGTCATACAGTATATACACACACATATAAAAGTATGAATAAGCTCACGAGATGAAATACGCAAAGTTTAGGGAACACTGAGATCTGTTTGAATCACAAAAATCAGTTACAAAAAAAAAAAAAATAATTTTACCATATTTCCGGCACGGAAGAATCAAAAACCATGCAGAAGCACATGGACTAACCAACAAACTGCTTGGCGAGTTTACCGTCAGAATTTATTATCGCAGGCGGTTAGTTTTTTACAGTTTATCTATGGCTCCTTGACTTTTTGTCACTTTCACCATGCAGTACAAATGCTTTTTATAAGCAGTTGGTCGAGGGGAGTCTCTCAGGAGATCACTTCCTGTAAGGGATGGATGCGCGCTGCATGCTAAGCCCATCACGGTGTAAGTGGTGCTTGAGTTTTTACCACCTGTTTAATCGAGTCACTGAGGAAAGTAGTCCCTCTATGATGCACTTATATTAAGGTGGCGTTGTCTGAACTAATTCGACGCGAAATGATGCCACAGAAGTCTTGTGAAACACCCCGATGTAGTTCTAGACAGTGCGTTACTTGCGGAAGTATGCAAATGGTGTACGTATCAAAACTGCTCGAGTGACTGTGAGAAGCGCAAGAGCCAGTGGTGCAGCGATTTAACAGATCGCGTTCGAACCTGAAGACGAGTAGTTCGATTTCTTCTCGGTCCATATTCAATTGTAGAAGGAGCTGTATCTGCAAGAAGCGGAGCTCTTTTCAACTCGTTCTTTTCAAGCAATCTGGGGGAAGAGAAAACCATCGACAGCTCTGCCACCAAATGCTGTTGCTAGTCGCAGAATGCATCCAATTGATCTGGGCTCTAATTAAAAGTTTATAGTTCGAGTGTGCTTCACCTAGTCATAACTGCTTGCTGTGCTGCTATTGCCATGTTCTAAGCCGATGCCCTGGGATTGCTTCTCCGTGAACTTCATTTGCATGTTCCTGTCTTCTGCATACGTATACCGTACGGCCAGCATTATGAAGATTCCAATCACAACAATCATCATAAATGCGTAGACAAAGAATTCAGTGGCCGGTTCAGCGACAATATGTGATCCAGAAATAAGCATATCGATTACATTGCCCAGGAACACGGTCATCAGCCACATTGCCTGAAGAGATTCTTTGTGTCAATTTTTTTCATACAAAAAGATACGGCTGCAATTTTTGCTGATATTGGACGAATAAAGTTTGCCGATTATCTGATTTTACAAAAATCAAGATTAAGTGGTCGGCCTAAACAAATAGGGAAGAATCGAGCTCTTCATTTCCACTATTGCCGAGTCTTTTGTGCTACCAGTTAACAGCACCGATTCATTCCAGTTACTACAAAAAGCTTTTCCAACTTGATCTCTTTTCAATCGTGTTGCCCCAGAATGCAAACATTTCCGATGTTTCACAGTTTGTTAGTTTATCTCCGGTCTAAAAAAATCATCGTTCACCTACCTGCAAAACCGATTTCATATTTGGCGGTGCTTGTGAGTAGGAAAATTCCAGGCCAGTCACCGAGAATAGTACTTCACCGAGCGTCATAACAAAGAATTGCGGCAATTGCCACAGCATATTAACAGTATTCGGCCTCACCACTGTATAAATTTCTGTGGTACCATCAGTAATGTGTAGCACGTGAGCTGCACCGGTTTGTGCCACAATAGTGAAATTATAGGGACACTGGTCAACCGAGCAATCACCGGGACCAAATTTTAACAAATATTCCGGTGAACTAATTAGCGCCGGCTGAATATCCAAATGCTTTCCTACAAATAGGCTGTAGTAGTAATCGCAGATTACCTGCATGAAGCGTTAACAATTACGAGAGCTTCAATTAAAATTATTACTCTTAATCCGGTTTTATTGTCAGCCCATGATGAAACTGCAAAGCTATCCAGCCTAAACGAACCCGATTTATAAACAACTGTAGTAGAAAGGCAGACAATCTCCATGAAAAACATCAAAAATTTGTTAGACGGTTACCTAAAATTCCGAAAAAAGGGGAAGAGGATGGAGGGAGGAGGGGATTTTCGCAAGCGGAGCTCTGTTTTGCAAATAATATGAGGCAGAAAGTCTACATCTCCAGACGTTCAGGATTTTTGCTCTGCATAAACCTTACACTGTTGGCCTTCTTTTCCTGTTCCGATCGTTGAAACCCTTTCTTTCTGGTCAATATGTTACTTACAAGAAGCCCTCGCTGTTATGACTGTTGCAGATGGAGCACAGATAACTGGTTATGAGCAGTTTTGTGGGTATGTGCCATTTAAAGATCATGGTCCAATTCAAGCTTAATGTGGTTTTGAAACAATGCGAGTTACCGACTTTTAACTGAATATCACTTGTCTTTTGTACATTTAATTTTACGAAATAACGTATGGGAAAGTTTTGGCAACTAAAATCAGTTATTTTTCAGCTGCCGATTCCGGATTCAATTGGCATCCCTTCCTTCCCAATACTGTAAGCACTCTCACTTGAATCGCATTGCAACAAAAACAGATTATATCGTTTGGAAGCAAAATTACCGGATTCAATAACTGTTTCCTGATGAACATTCCCTTTCTTATCGACAATGAAAAATCGTCCACCAATGAAACTTGAACCTTCCGGCACCAGAAGATATAGCCGTGTTCGACCGTTTTCAGACTTTTCGCAATTATATGGGAAGATAGACATACTGCTTCTTAAATAAGTTTAAAATAGGCTGACATTTCCGGAAAAGTCAAGATTGCCAGAAGACTGACTGCTAGGCAATGTGGGAGTCGCAAGACAATCAAGAAATGAAGAAGAATGAAAATGGCCTTGTTGTCCACTACAAAATTGACTACAATACACATACCTATGTTTGACCAGTAAAAGTTTCAAGTCACAAATATTCTTAAAACGGACATACTTCTCAAATGACCAAATCACTCTGCACGGT